TATATTAATATTTATTACTATATATAATATATAATATATGTATATATCTATCCACCTGTACTAATTACTAGGCCCCTTTTGGTTGGAGAGAAGGGTTGGGATGGGATTGGGGCTTTATATTGAAAATACACTGTATGGATTAGTAAAATATGGATGGTATCTCTGGTTGGGTTGGTTGGATACGAATATTTGGGATTGAATTCGAACAGACAAACTCAGGAATGGTTAGGAGGATTGGGTGGGATAATTTGGTTAATTACATTACCACCCCTGGAAATGCCTCTTTATTTTTATATTATACGCATGACAATTTTTAAAATACTGTTTGCTGAACCCATTCTTCCTCCCACTTTTCTTTAATTATAAAATCAGCCCTAGCATTTTTGAATAATTACATTTCCACCCCTTGCAAGCCATTTTTGTTATTAGAGTAAAAAACAATTTGCCCCCTAAACTATGGGCCAATTTGCACTTTACCCCCCAAACAAAAAGAATTTGCACGTTTTTACCTGAACTCGTTAATTCGTTCCACGGTACCCCTAAACTCAATTTTCCGGCAATTTTGACCGGAATGTTAAAACATGTGCTTTGCACGTGAGATTTTGAGGGGTAAATTCGTCCATTCACTTGCATCTTTAATTATTAAATACAAATAGATATTAAAAAAAAAAAGAAAAAAAAAAGGAAAAAGAAGCTGTCATCCATCACCCACCTTCCTTCCCCAACCCAATTTATCCCTGCACAAAAAAAATCTCAAACACCACTTTAATAAATTTCCAAAATTCTCCGACGACCACCACCGATCCTCCTCTCACGGATATAGCTTCGTCGGCGAGCCAAGCAATATTCTCCGGCGAAAAAATAACAGCAGCACTATATCTCCTCGGCGGCCCAGATTAAATTTAAATAAAATGTCTTCAAATCCGAAGAACACACACCTATACACTATATAGTATACAGTAAATTTTTGACCAATTCATCAAAAAAAAACTTAATTTTTGATCAATCTTTCTTTCTCGAATTTTCTAGCATTTCGAAAGAAATTAACTGCAAAATGAGAGGAAAAAGCTTATACCTTCCAATAGTATTGTCGACACGGCACGAACATTTGGCACAGATCTTATGCTCTTTAGCACAACCTACGCACATTATTCTCAATAATTAAGAACAAAAATGTCCACCCCCATCAAAAAATTGATTCTTTATTCCATTTTCCGAAGACTAAATTACGACAAACTGAAAGCAAAACACAATACAATTACAGTGTAGTAAACATTTTCAGAACTAAAAAACTAACCATGGCAGACATTGTGATAAGCTTGACAAACATTTCTCTTAGTACACCACTGGTTGTAATTGATTTTGCAAGAATCAATAAAATAAAATAAAATAATTAACTGCAAAATCAATCCAAAAAAAAAAAAAAAAGATTACCATTTGGCAGGTTCAGTAAGGAGCTTATATTTGCCGTATTTTCGTTTCCAATCAATTTGTTCTTTACAACGATAAAAAAAAAACCTGGTTATTTCTGAATACGGCCTGAATCTACCGCCGACTTCCTGCAATCACACACACACACACACACACACACACACACACAAATCGAAGAAATTAGATATATAGAAATTACAGAGAGGCGAGGTTTTAGTGTGTGTTTTTCGGAAAGAGAGAAGGTGTTCGAAGACTCGATCGGCAAACGGAGGAGGAAGCGAGGCAAGTAATGGCATCGGCGGCCGGTGGGTGACGGAACTTTTGGCTGGGATGGGTTTGGGATGGTGGTGGCACGGTGGGCGAAGTGGGGAAGAAGGAAGAAGACAGTCTTGGGCGGATATCTGGTGAAGGTGAATACAAAATATTTTTTTATTTTTTGTTTTCTTTGTTTTGTTTTAATTTTTAATTTTTTTTGTTTTTTTAAAGAATAATTTATATTTAATATTAAAGATGTAAGTGAATGGCCGAATATAGCCTTGCAAATGTCACGTGCAAGGCACATGTTTTAACTTTCCGGTCAAAATTGCCGGAAAAATTAGTTCAGGGGGTTCCGTGGAACGAATTAACGAGTTCAGGTAAAAACGTGCAAATTTTTTTTGTTTGGGGGTAAAGTGCAAATCGGCCCATAGTTTAGGGGGCAAACTGCTTTTTACTCTTGTTATTATATTATACACCTGTCAATTTTTAAAATATTGTTTACTCAAAAAAAAAAAAAATAATAAATATTGCTTGCTACATCGATTCTTTCCTCCTATTTTCATTTAATTATAAAATTAGCCCGTAACATTTTTGGATAATTACATTACTACCCCTTGCAAACCTTTTTATTATTATTATTATACGCCTGTTAATTTGAAATATGCTTGCACCACCATTCTTTCCTCCATTTTCTTTAATTATAAAATCAACCCTACCATTTTTGGATAATTACATTACCACCCTTGCAAGCCCTTATTATTATTATATTATACACCTGACAGTATTTAAAATATTTCTTGCACCACCCATTCTTTCCTCCTATTTTCCTTTAATTATAAAATCAGCCCTAATATTTTTGGATAATTACATTACCACCCCTTGCAAGCCCTTATTATTATTATATAATACACCTGGCACTTTGTAAAATATTGGTTGCACCACCCATCATTTCCTCCCATTTTCCTGTAATTATAAAATCAGCCCTAACATTTTCGGATGATTACATTACCACCACTTGCACCAGTCAATTTGTAAAATATTGGTTGCATCACCCATTCTACTGTATTGTAATTTATAATTTGTGTTTATTATTGGAAAAATGAACATTAATATATCAGTTAGATGTCATTATATATATAACAATTTTTTTTGGAAGCCATATTAGACATTTTAGCTCCAAACTAACAGAAACTTCACGAAATACTTGTAGAAAATGTACAGAAAATTTATATTTGTGACACACAAGTGGACTACTATAATGTCCATCACAAAATTAAATTAAAGAAGAAATAAAATGTCTTAAATATAATTAACGCCGCAAAATGGGGTCCGAACACGGAAAACTTCTTCTTTGCCTTGTGAGTGGATGGTAGTCTACCTATCCAAAGGAGTGACCTTCGAGGATCATTCAAACCATAACCCCCTTTTCTGTCTTTTGCATGTACAAGGCAAAACAAAAGCTTGGAAGCTGCAGATATCAGTCTCACCTTCAATGATAAGACAACTAAACCAGTAACCATGCGAAGACGAGAAGCTGACACTTAAGTTCTCTTGCCTTCACAAGAACATCAATTTGTCACCTTAGTCATGCTCGGTGAACCTGAGTACATATGAACAAATGCAACACACGTGTCAGCATCCCTAAAGTGAGAAATAAAAAGATCTAAAGAATTCCCTACAGAGACATCAACTGCAACTCTTGAAACAAATTATGCATTATTTAAATCAAAAGTTCTATAATTCCTTCTTCTATAAATGAACTATTACGCAATTAGCACTACCCAAAATTATATGCAGACACTACAATTAACAAGACCTGAGCCTTGAAAGCAAATTCTTGAAAATGAAAACTCGAAAGAAATTCCTTTTAATCATTTCCCACAAAAAGCTACGTGAAATGTTTTCACATTTAGTAGATAAACCTTAACCGAAAGGGAAGTAGATACAAGAGAAAATTGGAAGTTGGATCGGAGAACATCTGTGCCTGTGGATTCTGAGTTGGCCCTTAGGCACGTGTAATAAACCGTTCTCCTGCAATTTCAATTAAAAATGTTTCCCATTTAGTAACGATTGCATAACTCATTTGTGGCTGCACCCACTCAGAAGGGCATAACAATGAATAGAAAGTGTATAATATATATATGTCCAGAAACAATTCCACTGTTAAGAAACAGCAGAGTTTGAGGTTCAAACATGCTTCACTTGCTTAATTACTCTTGATAATATTCACTTTCTCTTTCTTAATCTAATCTTAACTACACTTACTGGTGTTCTTAAAACTAATTACCGAGATCTAAAGAAGAATATTCAACTAATCACCCCATACTTAAATCACCCCAAAAACATAAATTCGAGTCTATAATCTCAACTAAACCACAAGCACCAGTAGGAAAAACACATTGAGAATACAATTTCTCACCTCGTTGCTGTAGTAGTCCTTACAAATAGCAAAAAACGAATAAGAAATTACCCGTCTTTGACAATTTTGACATCGGGAGTTTGATCAGAGGGCATGAGCTTAGACACGAAGTAACGGAGGACTTCGATGAGTACCATCACCACCGACAGTACAGGTAAAACGGTTTTAGATAAATCATAACAACGGATGGGAAAATCTATGATTTATTACAAATTTGTATATATATCAGGTAGAATTGTAATTACGAGTGGATTGTGAGGGCAAAAAAGTAAAATAACTTACTGGGTTTGTGAAAGACGGACGAGATTAGCTTATCTCACCTCAGACGGAGGGATGGAGGATCCTGTATTTGGCGGATTTGGACCCGGGCCCAGGATCCATCCTAGATCCGTTTGTAGTGAACCAAATCCGAGAACCCACTGGATTGGAAGATCCATCAGCCCATATCCCTCCAACCAAAATAGCCCCTAGTATATTACTTATATTTTTTTTCTCCCCCACCACCACCAGCGCCTTCTTTCTCCGACGACCACCACCACCACTGCCTCCCGGTTCTCCGACGACCACCACCACTAGCGCATCTCGGCTCTCCGACGACCACCACCACCAGCAGCGCCTCCCAATTCTCCGACGACCACCACCACTTGCGCCTCCCGATTCTCCAACCACCACCATCGCAACCAGGCCTCCCGGCTCTCCGAAGACCACCACCACCAGCGCCTCCCGGCTCTCCGACGACCACCAGCATAGCCGCTCTCTCTATCGGGTACTGTTAGAATAAATCTAATTTAGTTGATTCAATTTTTTTTTTTGGGGAACATTCCGAAAAATTCCGAAAATTTCCGAAAAATTTCCGAAAATTCCGAAAATGAGAAGATTTCCGAAAAATTCCGATTTTCCGAAAATTCCGAAAAAATCGGAATTGGAATCACTTTTTGAATTCTGAAAAAATCGGAATCGGAAAGCCGTTTTGGACTTCCGAAAAAAATCGGAAATTTTCCGAAACACCCAAATCCGATCCGATCCGTCCGATTTCCACCCCTAGTAATGACAAATACATAACGAGTTTTAGTAAATGTAGGATTTTTTATAATTTAACTTGATCTCTATTTATGGACTCATATTTTAGTAGTTATATATATATATATTTTAATATACAAATTAATTCTCATCATCTATTTATTATTATTTGTCAAAATATTTATATTTATTCTTACAATTTCGAGTCCCAAACACATCTGAAGAAAATTTTAAATTTATATGTATTTAATATTCGATATGGAATTAACTAAATTTTTGTCTCACTTTCAAGTTTCAGCCGTATCATTCTCGAAAACTGATAAATTCATGTTCTTGGTGATTAATGATAATTAATGATGGTATAGTATTCTCCCAAAATAATGTCGATGAAACAAAAGAGTTTGAAAAAAAAAAGATGTTACATATATATTTTGAATTTTTAAACAAAATTTCTATTATGTTTACTAAAAATTATCCGTGTGAATAATTTTGTTGAAAACTTCTAGGAAAAAAAATTAACAATATGAATTAGATTTTGAATTTTTAAAATAAGATGTGCTACATTTACTAAAACTCCTCCTGCATTTATCAGCATTTTCTAAAAATGCTGTCTTTCCCAATTTAGGGCAAATTAATTCCTCAACCTCTAAAATTGAAATCCCAGCTCTCGTCATTCATTCTCCGGCGAACATCGACGCAATAATTCAGTTTTCCGGCGGTAATTCCAAATGAGGGTAGTCGGATTGACCGGAGGCATAGCGTCGGGCAAAAGCACAGTCTCCAATCTCTTCAAATCCCACGGCGTTCCCGTCGTTGATGCTGACGTCGTTGCTCGCGTAATTGTGCCCTAAATTTCTGGATTTTTATATTAATTTTTGTTTTTAGAAAGAACTGACGATTGTATGCTTCTGGAGCTGCAGAATGTTCTGAAGAAGGGGACCGGTGGATGGAGGAAAGTGGTGGCTGCATTTGGCGATGAGATTTTGCTAGCTAGTGGAGAAGTCGATCGGCCGAAGCTTGGGCAGATCGTATTCAACGATCCCGATAAGCGGCAGCTTCTTAATAGGTACTAAAGTGTTCATTTATTTATTCGATCAAGACTGAATTTTTAAGTTTGTTTTGTCATAATTGAAGTTGCCCTGTGAGTTGTGCTTGTAATAGTATAGTTCTGAAGTTGTCTTCTTAGTATGTATGTTGTTTTATGGGGTAAATTACGGCCGCCCCACTGAAGTTAGGTCAAATTACGAAAAAAATCCATTTTGTTTGGGTAATTACAACCACTGCCCTCAATTATGAATCTTCTTATACATTCATCTTCATAGTGTCAAATTTAACAGAATCTTTTAGGTTCCGTGGAATGTTCTCTAGTTTGTACTCGTTTTGTGCAAAAAAGTAGTTTACAACAATATGATATTTACAAGCCAAGAGACGCATCTTATGATCATATGTTTCAAAATGTGGAGCTCGAATCGGGTAAAACCGGTATAAACTGGAGAATATTCCAGACTTTATTAAATTTGACACCACAAGGGTGGATGTGTAAGTAGATTCATAGTTGAGGGGTGTGGTTTTAATTACCCAAACATGAGGGGTGTTTCGTAATTTGACCTTACCTTAGGGGGGCGGCCGTGATTTATGTTCTGGATTTGGCTCTTGATTATGATATCAAATGAATTGATGTTTCTGAGTTTCGTAAACTATGATTCTCTTTTTCAGGCTATTGGCACCTTATATTTCGACCGGGATTTCAATGGAAGTGTTCAAGCTGTGGATGAGGGGTTGTAAAATAATAGTTCTTGACGTACCTTTGTTGTTTGAGGTGAAGATGGACAAATGGACGAAGCCCATTATCGTGGTATGGGTTGACCCCGAAACTCAGCTTCGGCGACTTATGACGAGAGACGGAACGACGGTGGAAGAGGCCAAAAGTAGGATCAACTCTCAGATGTCTCTGAATTTGAAAAGGACAAAAGCAGATATCGTGATTGATAACTCGGGATCACCCGAAGATCTGAATCGACTCTTTAAAGAGGTACTTGTCCGTGTGAGGAAACCTTTGACGTGGACTGAGTTTGGTCTCTCTAGAGACGGAGCTCTCGTGGCTTTCGTTTCTATTCTTTTTGGTGTTATCGTATGCTGGAAATCTTTGTGATCAATCGACGTGTGTATGGTTTCAGCCCTTGTTATAAATTAATTAAGCTTTTGATTGTTAAATTTGACTTTCTGATACATTATTATATGTGGATGAGTTTGCTCGCAGATAGTATTTATCTAATATTGATGCTATGAAAACATTAAATGTGTGTTACGTGATTGAAATTAGTTAAAACTCCAAAGTTCGAATTGCGATCAAAGTTCGAATTGCGATCACGATTAGCATAACCAATTGAGTGCTACTGGTTGTCAGACGTCATCTTAAGCTTTAAAGATATCTTATTACAGAATATGGATTTCTGATGGAGGATCCATTCGGGAACTTTATAAATGTTATATATATATATATATATATATATTCGTTCGTGTGTCTCTACTTTGTGTGTGACTTGCAGACAGTAAGGGGCAGATCAGTCTTTTCCCTCCTTGCTCCTTTATTTCTTGATCCTAGTTGGAATGACCATTTTATTGGTCTGCTTCATTTAGAGGAGAGAGCTCTCCTTATCTTTCGTTTCACTTACTCTGATAGAAAAAGAAAAAAAAAAGTCTCTTTCCTCATTGCCAACACACACACACACAAACACACACACACACACAGAATGGAAAAAACACCGACGGCGGCCGCTGGTGGTGATGGCTCAGAACCCCTCCAGTACAAGGTACGCAATTGAATAACGAGTCTTTGTATGCTTGGCTAATCATTTTCCCCTGTAGTTAAACCTGCTAATTCATAGATTGTTCGTATACTCTATTATGCAGACATGGGCCTTGAGGGTGTCTATCCACTGTGGAGGCTGTAAGAAGAAAGTAAAGAAAGTCCTACAAAGTATTGAAGGTAACATATATATAGAATATTACACACTAATTGTTTGTGTATGCTTGTGCACAAGTTTATGTACATTCTTTCTTCAAAAGGGCGCCTTTTTGTTTATGTTTGGGATTATCTTTGAGTTTCTGAAAAATATCTTATATTGATTAGGAGTATATAAGATAGAGATCGACTCGAAAGAACACAGAGTTACAGTAGCAGGAAACATTGAAGGCGAAACATTGGTCAAGAAGCTGGTTAAGTCGGGCAAACATGCAGAAATTTGGACTGAAAATCCCGAGAATGAATCAACGGACAATGGAAATAAAAAGGAAAACCAGCCTGAGAAAGAGGCCGGTGACACTTCGGGTGATGATCAGACAGAGGAAAAGGGTAGCGCACCACCAGTTGCCACCGCTCAGGGTGGTGGTGGTGGTGGTGGTGGAGGTGGGGGTAAAAAGAAGAAAAAGAAAAAGAAGAAGGGAAACGCAAACGCAGGTGGTGCACCTGCAGCTGCAACTGCGGGATCTCCTCCACCTGCCGGAATTACGGGCCTAATTCCTGCTGATCAAATGAATCCGAACCCTCCAAGTCAGCAGCACGCCTTCTTTTATCCACAGTTTTACTACGCTTCTCCAGAATATGGGATGAGTTACAATACTGCACCACCCAATGCAAGTATGACTTCTTCTTCGTATTATTCCATGCCCACACATTCTTGTACGTATTCGGACCCACATTACTACCCGCACGATCCAATCTTAGATAATAATCGACGTGATGATTATTACGGTGGAGATGAAAATGGTTGCTCGATCATGTGACACAATCTTTACCACATCAAATGTTGCTTTGCATGGGTAAGCAGTAGGTTCTGTTAATATAGTGTAATAACTGCCCATTGTTGTTTCTTTATGTTACTCTCAGTCTAAATCATAAACCAGCTTTTGAGTATTTATAAACTAAACTACTTCATTTATGTGTAATATAGAGCATTACGAAAGATTGGTGTCGGTGAGTATCAGTATTAGTTTTTTTCTTCTTTTTTTTTTTTTTTTTTTTTTTTTTTTTTTTTTTAACGAAGCCTAAAAGTAAATGACAAAAGATCGAAAAGCATATTCTTTTGGTAAAGGGGTCTCTTTATTTGGTTGAAATCTTTTATCTGGTGAAGGATGTGTAAACTATTACACATCCATCTACTTTAGGTTGAAGAAAAGTTTGTGTGGTCAATTGGAGCATTTTTTTTTCTTGCTTTCAATCTTGAATGGGAATGAGCTCGTAAAGAATAGTTGTTAGTGTTGAGATCTTTTGAGGATCTTACTTTCAAGAATTGTTCTTTCTTTTTTCATTTATTATTTTAAATATATTATGCCAAGTTTAATGGAATATAGCTTATAGGGCAAATTACGGCAATCCCCTGAGGTAAGGTTCAATTTATGAAAAAAACACTCTTATTTGGGTAATTACAACCACAAACATGAGGGATTTTTTTCCTTGTAAATTTGAAACCGAAAGGGTAGTCGTAATTACACAAATATGAGGGATTTTGTTGTAATTTGACATTATCTTAGGAGGTGATTGGAATTTTGCCCTGAAATGTATTGATTCCGATTTTTTAGGTAATGATGGAGGTAGAGTTGTTTTTTTTTTTTTTTTTTCCCTAGTAGATAAATGAATTAATTTTTTTTTGACAGATTAAGGTCACATATTGAATATGTTTTTCTAACTAAAAAGGATTGAAAAGGAAAAGGATATAAGGATAATTGTGTTAAAGATTAAAGGGTCAATTACAACCACGAAGGGTCAATTACAATCACCTATCCGAAATAAAGTCTATTTACGAAAACTCATAATGTTTGAGTAGTTACATCTAGGACCCTATAGTTTGTAAATTTCTTACATTCATCCCCTACAAAAGTGTGTTAATGTAAGAAATTTATAAATTGCAGGTGGATGGATGTAATTCTGGAAAAATGATGGGTTTTTTCGTAAATAAACTTAATCTTAGGGGGACGGTTGTAATTTACCCAAGAATAAATGGCTTTTGAGCATCGAGTTCTCCAATCCATTACGAATATTCACTTTTGCTTATCTTTTTCTCCAATGGCACATTCTTCAATCCCAACCGTTGAATCTGTAGTTTCTATGTGCAGAAGTAGTGAATTTGTACACATCCAGAGAGGAAGAGGATTGTTATTTTTGTAAGGTGTAAAATTCAGTTTGGACCCCTGTACTATGTGAAATGTATAATTTATCCTCATCCCATAATGTACAGAAAACATAAAACACCCTCCATGCTATTAGCTTTTTTCCTGATTCCGTTGGTCAAATCCTTTGACAGTTTGTTATAAGGAGTTATCGGCTTCTTTTGACAAAAATACCTCGAAAATTTCGATGCCTAGTTTTGACCATTTTTCAGTGTTCTAAATAGCGGTCGTGGCGGTCGCTATATCGGCCGCCATATCGGTATCGGTTATAAACCTTTACGATTTTGTTGAGGCGGTTTGGAATATCGGTTTTTTATGGCGAGGCGGTTTGCGGCGGTTTTTTGGCGGGTCAAACCGATATATCGGTCAACAAATCGGTTTTTTTTTTTTTTTTTTTTTTTTAAATTTAAATTAAAATGAAAATATGTTTTGATTTTTTGTTTTTCTCCAATTCTTTCAACTTCCAAAACCAAACCAAGTACTACCCCGCAATTTATGCTTTGTTGTGTTTATATTAATTGTTGATACGAAAGACTTGCGTAGTATTTGTATTTCGTAAGAATCTTTTATTATAATATGATCTTATTATTTTTAAATTTTTGTTATTTATTGAGTAATTAGAATTATATAATAACATATGAATGATAGGATAGAATTATGTTTAAATATTATTTTATATATATTTTGAGTATTTACAAATAATATTTAGAAATATATTACACTAAATTTAAAAACCGATATATTTCCGATTTATCTCCGATAAATCACCGCCGCGCCGATTTATCGTGTGGCGGTCCCTAACCGCCACGTACCCGATAACCGCCTTTTAGAACCTTGCCATTTTTCATCAATTTTTTACTCTTTTCGGACTTTTTTCCTACTTTTTTCACTTACTTTTAACTCTTTTCAAACCTTTTCTATTTCGTTTCTACATGAAAGACCTCTATGAGCTTGCTATGATCTCGAAGAATACTTCCGGGTGAAAATCCCTAAAATCTAAAAGACACCCTAAAATTGAAATGAAACCCTAATTAATTTGGAAGAATTACAACCTAGAAAAGCTTTTCATATATATTGCAAAACCCCCCCCAAAAAAATAAAACTTGTAAACCCCTAAAATCAAATACTAAAATGGACAAAGAAAATCTAATGTGATGGGCATCTCTCCAACCGGCAAATGAAATGTGTTGGTGGTTGGCTGCCACATCTCTAAGAACGACCTAAGTAGGTGACATTCCACAAACTTGTACGAGCCACGTACAATTACCATAAGTCTGGCTCTCTTCACGGCCGCAATAATGAATGGCGCTGGAGCCCAGCTCTCCAGTGTAATTGGTTGTATTAGCCGTATCTTTATTAATATATTTATTATAGATAAATATTGTATTATTTGTATGTATATCTCCTAGTTCCCTTGTGTAAGGGCATCTCCTATGTGTGGGGGTTGGGGTGGGGTGGGGGAGGGGCTGATATGTTTAATGAGTAGCGGTAGGAGGTGGGGTTGGACTGGGGTGGGGAGTTGGGGTGGCTGGGGGTGTCATTTGAGCCCAGGGAGAAGCCCTGGGCTCTCACTATCCGGTGCCTCACGTGTGTTTCACGTATGAGGCTTTGTTCCATTTTTTTTTTCTTCCACATTAATTCTTTTTTTCTTTTCTTTTATTCTTTTCTTTTCATTTTAGTATTTTTCTTTTTTTTTTTTCTTTTGTTTTTTTGTATATTTTCTTTATTTATTTTAATTTATTATAATTCTTTTTTTTCCTTTTTTTTTTCTTTCTTTTTTCTTTATTTATTTTCATTTTATTAATAATTTCTTTTATTTTACTTTAGTTTTCTCGTTTTTTTTCTCTAATTAGATCTTTTTAATTTAAAATAGTAATTTTATTATAAATATTCTATTAATTATATTAACATTACGTGTTATTATATTACAAAGCATAGTTAAAAAATGAAAATGTAATAAATAACTTAATAATAGCTTAACATAATTTAAAAAAATCAAATACTCAAATTTATAGGTAACCACTTAAATAAAACTATTACATAAATTATTATTATTATTATAATAATAATAATAATAATAATAATAATAATAATAATAATAATAATAATAATAATAATAATAATAATAATAATAATAATTATTATTATTATTATTATTATTATGATTATGATTATTATGATTATTATGATTATGATTATTATTATTATTATTATTATTATTATTATTATTATTATTATTATTATTATTATTATTATTATTATTATTATTATTATTATTATTATTATTATTATTATTATTATTATTATTATTATTATTATTATTATTATTATTATTATCATGAGGAGCATGATCATCATTATTATTAGTATTATGATTATTATTATTATT